GTCTGTCTTTGACTTTTTGTAATGGTCATGGCAAAAGCGATTCGACATGGGAACTGTCGCCGTTTGAATTTTAGGGGGACATTTTCTTCTGATGGTTCTAAAATAATTGGGGCAGTAACACTCGTTTTCCAGCCGAACTTCCATAAATAATGTCAAGATTTAGGACTTTGTCATTCATCTCTTTCACCATTAATCTGGCTCCAATAAGCAGTCCTTTTTGTGGATTTAAATTTCTTGGTAAAATTACAGTTACACCTTTTTTAGGGCATAACTGGTGAGGAGGTAAACCACTTTGTGCTACAGTTTGAATAAATTCATCAGGTACATGTAACTTGTCTCCCTCTTCTTGAATCTAAGTGTCCACTCTGAGTAGTAAACTCTACTGTCATCATTTAGTTACTCAACTATTTTATTATTTGTTTCGTCACAATAAATTTTTTGGTGAAAGTATTGCATGATTTTTTTTAAAGCATCTTCAAAGAATCCTTCACTGTAGATTTTGTCAATGATATTTTCATTCACAATACATTGTGGTGGAAGACGTATCAATGGCTCACCAAGATCATTATGGTAGCTCTCTTGGCCATTCCCTATTCGTAAAAGATTTTCAGCAAATATTGATTCGCTTGGATTGGCTCTCATGTTTTAGCAGATGAAATATTTTTAAATTTCCCAGCCATATAGAACACTGATTCAAGATCTTTTCCCCGGTTATCAAAACTCAATAAAAATGTTATACACAAAGAAGCTCTTTTTCATTTACGGTTACCCTACATTATTGCACTTGCGATTAATTAAATCCGTTATGTAAGGAAACACGGTTTTAATCCAACTTGGTTTGGATTTGCTTTTGAAACGTGATCGGAAATGATTGTAGTATTTGTAAACAACATTCAATGTAAATATATCAGTGACAGCTATAGAAAAATAATCTTGATCCGAACAGCTGTTCGCTATTTCATAGATGATTATGTGATAAACATTGTGAGAAAACTTGACAAAAATCACACAAAATTGGGTTTTTAAACGTCCGTAAGTTTTTTTACAAATTAGTGAGGCCATATTTTAATAGCTAAAGACACTTTTGCCAATCCAGTGAACACATTAAAATGATTTGGATTTTGATAGGTACTCTTGTTTTTCAGGAGAAGGCCGTGTAAAATGGCTTTTGGTCCGTGACAGACGGAAGACAGACAGACAGAAATTGAGATGAGACTTGTTTCGGATTCTTGAATTTATAAAACGTAAAAATAACCTAAAAGTACAGACAAAAATCTAATTTTATTTATATAGATTTGTACCTCTGGTGATTTTTATTAGAAGTTTATTGAAGTAAATAAAGAACAATTTACAAACCATCCGACCAGTGTTTTTATTTAAAAAGTACGTAGGCCTATTTGATTGGCTTTGTTTTCTGAACTAAAATGTCTATTTTCTGATCTATTTTGAGTTCCTGGTTTCGAAACATAATTTGGCAAAACAATTATTTATTCATTAAACAACTTGGTCGGAAAATAATTTCTTAACATTGGAGGACAATTTTAATCATAAAAAACTTTTGAATTCTAATAAACCTAGCTGCTGTACCCGTGTTTTGCATCGGAGAGGATTTTGAAGAGAAAACGTTAATACACGTCACATATAACAAATCCCACTTTAACACGTCATGTTAATACGTTTACTTCCTTAAATTAAGAAAGTCACAATCACCAATTAACAGGCTCGTAGCAAAAATTAAAGGTTCACAATTCGAATAGTTTCTACCTTTTGGACCGTAAAATCAAAGCACTGCATTTACAGCTGACTTCGTTTAAACATTCTGTTATCTACATTCTTCAAAAATGTAAACATTGTGAAACTTTGAAATCCCATGGGGCGTAACTCAAAGAAAACACGTTAAAAGTAATCGGTACATGTGTTAACCAGGTACAGGGCTACCTCTTGAATTCATATAGATAATAAATCGAAAAATAAAGAAAATATAAGTTGATTGATTATTGGCCGTTATAAGTTAAACAATCACGAAACATGATTTGATTAAGTAACCACACATCACTGAGTCTATATCTCCATTCTCATGTAAAAATCGCTTCGATTGTGGCTATAATAGGGAAGTAAGATTTCACTGTACAACGAGCTCAGTAAGCTCGAGAACCAGCAATAAGGTGGAAATAACCGGCCGAACCTCAAACCATCCAGTGGCTCGCTAGTCGGTACCCCAGGTCGGTCGGGAGCCCATCAATGGAACCCGTTAGGTTCGCCCCTGCCTCTCGCCGCAAGAGAGACAAGAATTTTGCCTTGTTCCCCCCGCCTTCGATTGGTTGAGGCGGGAAAACTATCTATGTGCTACGGCCCGCGCAACACAGGATATTGTTTTCGTATTATAACTGTGCACGTTAGCTTTTATGCCCTCTCTTGGAGAATAATTCAAAACTGCAAAGAATATTTCTAATCCCACAGTATACTAGATATTTAAACTATAAACACTTTGGTGTTTGAAAAAATATTTTTGGACGATAAATTTTGCAAATGTTTGAAATTATCCAAGATGGCCGCTTGCCTCCAAGGACTCAACAATAGGCCTACTTGTGCGACTATAAAGCAATAACTCCCCCCTTGCGCTTGCTAATTAGCTCGGTACATATTTGTATCCACAGTTGGCAGGACAATAGCCATTAAGATGACCAAAGATTACATTTGGCATTTAATTATTTAACCTGTAGAATAGTATTTTTAAGTAATCTTGAAGACAACTAATTAAAATGAAGTGCGAAAGATTGGTTATGAGATTGGTTATGAGCATTATCCGTTTGTTTGAGGTGCGGATTTTCAAGCTTGTAGAACAAATAAATATTATACAAAGTAGAAGGGCAGGGGTGAAATTGACTGAAGTGACGGGATACCTGGTGGATTTTCAGTGACTGGATTCCAGTGGTATGCGGTAAAATATATAGTGACTGGCTTAGCAGCACAAATTTTACGTGACTGGCTTTCCCGTGCAAATGCGGTGGTGACTGCATTAGCATAGCAGTTTTTACGTAATTATATTTTAGTATTTTTAAGAAAAAAATAGATATATACATTCAGAAATGTCTAGGCTTAAGATATTTACCAATATATATTATATATATATCATAGTCTTGAAATATATTGGGGGATGCAACTGACTGACTTCCAGTGTATATTTCATGTGACTGACTTCCCGGGCGCGGCCGTGTATATATATATATATATATATATATATATATATTTGGCAGCAGTAATAAACTCAGACACCGCTGAACCAATTGCCACGAAACTTGGTACATACGTGTAGAATTTCATGGAATAGGTTTATACACCATCAATTTCGTGATCCGTCCGGCTCCGCCCCAGTGGCTCCTGAGTTTCCCATGTTAACCTTATGAGAAATGGAATTAATGAATCTTAACAGCTGTTTCAACTGAACAAGTTGGTTCTGTTCTATGATGTTCAATAGCATTAAAGCTACAATGATTACCAACAGTGTGCAGCACTATTATTTCTTTTACATTTATGACAACAGCTAATTTGCAACCAAAAGGTGAGTGAGCATAGCGAACGAACTTCAACCTGGAGGCGAGTTAGCGTAGTGAACGAGCTAACCTGAAGGCAAGTGAGCGTAGCGAACGAGCTAACCTGAAGGCAAGTGAGCGCAGCGAATGAGCTCCAACCTAAAGGTGAGTGAGCGTAGCGAACGAGCTCCAACCTAAAGGTGAGTGAGCGTAGCGAACGAACTCCAACCTAAAGGTGAGTGAGCGTAGCGAACGAACTTCAACCAGGACGTGATTGAGCCATGCGAACGAGATCATCTTGAAAATTAAGAAGTTAAACGGGGCAAAGCCCGCGGGTTACAGCTAGTAGTATATAAATTAATCAATGAAGACAAAATTATGTTACAAGTTAGAAAAGTTTTATAATATCACATATGTTATTTATTTATTTACATATTTTATTTTGATTTTTGTTTACTTTGAAAATGGCCTTAGAGCCGAATCTATAGTCAGTAAATATTTTAATAAATAATTTTTACTTGGGTACTAAGTTTATTAATGTTTAATCTTTACATATATATATATATATATACACACACACACACACACACACACATATATATATATTCTTTATCAATGGAAAATTATCAGAAATATATTTTTCCTACAGTCACCCGACTAAGTTGGCTTCCCTGTACTGTTTATAGTACAGAAAGCTGCTAATTGCTGCATATTTATACTTTGCCGTACGGTTTATACTTTGCCGCACATCAGGATTCCAACCAAACAACACAAAACAGCGTGGTTTTATTATGCACGTAATCCGTGTACGCTTGGAAATAGGTTGGCAACACTTAAAGATAATAATTCTATGAGCAGCTGATTGACTAATTATAACTACGATTTAACCTGTCATTTCGTGTTTATAGTTTCGGTATTCCTGAACTTTCTGGACTTTTCTTTTAAACGTTTTTAAAATATTCCTACGATCTTAATTAACAAAAAAAATACCTTTTAAGCATTTTTTAAGGCACGGAAACTACTACAAATTACTAAAACATACGGAACTATATTCTCAAAACGCGTAGCAAATTTCTTGCCGAGGAAAAATAGCGGAGTGATACGGACCGCGGGTACTACTTTCTCTAGGGCACCATTTTTGTTGCCAGCTGAACCTAAAAAAGCTTTGTATAGTGTTTGAAAGACTAATGATTTATATGCTTTATAGTGACTGTAGGAAAAATATAATGTGTAACACGAGTGAAAAAGGCCTTTGCTGCACTCGAGATCATTCCGCACTCGCCTGCGGCTCGTGCGTAAACATTGCTCTCGTGTGCAGCAAAGTGCCACTTTCACCACTAGTTACACAAATAACTATTTAAGATGTGGTTTGTACTCAAAATGAAGAATATAAGATTATCCAAAAAAAGTACTACTTTATTAAAACCAATTAGCCTACTAATAACAAAAAAATTAAAAATAGCATACCTGGTCAACTGTTCCCTGTTATTTTTTACTTCTTCCAACAACTCTTTTCGTTCTTCTAGGTTTAAACATTCTTTTGCTAAAGTTTCAAGTCTCTCTATGTGATTTCTTAAATTGGCCAACTTGGCTCTTCCTTCGGTATTTAGATCATCTAGGAGTTCCATAGGACCGGAACATTGATGAATATCCTATTATTAAAAAATAAATCTTAAAGAATAAATAGGCCTATTTATTTTTAGAAGTCTATAAATTTGTCAAAATAAATTCACAGCCAAAATTCATTGACTAAAAGTAAACATGATAAATACAGTATTCTTAGGCCTACATATTATAAAAGTCAATGCCTTCCCGCTCACTGACTAAATGACTGTGATTTATCACTAATTCTCAAACTTCCACTTCCAGACTAGCTAAAAGGTTGTAACTTGGTAGTACTATGAAAGATAAGAAAGTAAAATGGTTTCCATTTAATGATTTGATTTTAGAAAAGGGTTGCGGCTTAGAAGCCTTTCATAATCTGTCTACATACAGATTTTGCTCGTAAGTTAAGTTTTTGTTGGAAAGATAAGTCAGCGTGAAATTAAATAATAAATTGAAGTTGCATAAAGTCATTTGGATGGTGGTTTGGGCGAGTCCAAGTTCTAGCGGTGACTAATACTAGAAAGGGAGAAATGTTTGTGGAGTGTAAAAAGCTATTAATAAAAAAATAATTAATAAATAATTAAACTGTTCTAACCAAACCTAAGCTAACTTTCTGGAACATTAAAAAATCCCATTTATTAACAAAAATACATGTGTGGAAGATAGGTCAGACTTTATGTGGGTTTGTGTATTAAGTCCTTTGTAATTAGGTGTTCAATTAAACCGTCTTATTAATACTTTATGATAGGTACTTCCAATTTGTATTGCTCTTAATTGAAATGGTGGGGGAGAAAGAACAAAATAACAATTTCACAAGCTAAAATAAGAACTAATTAGTCTGCATTTGATTGTTTAGAGTTGTTTAGAACGACTTGTTCAGAACAAACCATTCTGAATTAATCGATTCCATTGCGCATGGACTCAAATGTAAACAGCTGTTTGCTCTCCACAGTTCAAGTGCAGACTTGTCCAAACCGCCGTATTACCATCCAAACGGCTTAATGAATCTTAAATTTTTAATTTTAATTTTGTTTAGCAGACACTTAGGAGTCTTTCCGACAAAAGGTGATTGCGTAGTTTTGGGTTTAGCGTGAATAAAACTGTAAGTAGAAACATGAAAGTATTTTTTTTTATCAGTGGAAGTATACGGAACATTTGCCTCAGCTATTTATCATACCATCTGTTAGTACTACATTGTTTATTTGCACCATATGTTTCAAAATATTTATGTTTTCGTTTATTTGTTATCGAGATTGAGATATTCTAGGTTGAAATGGACAGGTTAAAACCAAAGGGTTGCAGCAGCAGGAAAGTACCTTTGTCTTGATAAGTGGCTAGAATCCCTACATATCCTCACTACCACTGTCAGTGACTCTGAGAGTAAAATTTGTGTAAACAAAAGGAAATAAAACAGTGCTTTTAAGATTATGCTACTTCATTTAGAAGAAAACCATTTTTTTGATTGGTTTCATTTGGACATAATAACTTACACTAACTTATTTACCCGTATGGTACTTGGTTTATTTCCATCATCCAATGATTAGCCTATTCCCAATGTTGATAGCTATTTTTCGCAGGTAATAAATTTATTTTACCATTCAGTTTAAAACAGCGAAGAGCAGGCAAAACAGCTACCTAGAATTCCTTCCATAAAACATTTAAATTAGACCAGTGATGGTCGGATCAAGAAATATTGAATTTAAAATCAAAACCAGAACTTAAAAATAACCCCACGGCAGCAAACCTGTAGACTAAGCGAGTTTCCATTTGCCTGATTGGATTTACAATAAAATGTCTTGTTTAAAATATCACATATTTATTCCCTATTTAAATCGTTTTAGTTTAACGAGATCCTACTTAGGTTTGCTGCAACAGAGAGGGTAAAAAAGTGTTTTTTTTTTGTTTTTTTATGTTTGTTAATAGGTTAGTAGGAGATAAATACATTTTCCAAATTTGATCAAAATATGTTCATAAACAAGCAAACTATAAAAGTTTATTTATTCTCTATTAGAATAACATGAGAATTTTAAATTAAACATTATTTTTGAAATTTTCTCTGTAACCATTAGGCACATAATAACGCTTCAATATACTAAACTATTTGCTTTCTTAAAGCTCTACAAAATAGTTTGTAAAGAAATTGCTATTTTTTTTGTTTTTTTTTTTTAGTCAAAAATGGAAAAAACCCTAATTTTTACCCCATAAAACCCAGTTCCCATAGTCCGATAATGCTGGTCCGCGAACTCTTTTCATCAAAATCGGATCATTTTTGCCCGAGTTATTGTGCTAATGGACACACACATATATATATGAACTTAAACATATGGTGTTTTTGGCCTCTAGGGACTTCAAAACGAAAAAGTTAATTGGTTCCGGGTCCAGGTCTTACCATGAGTAACATTAATAGCTTATTCCCAATGGGACATTCGCTAAAATCAAATGTTTATCATTATTTTAAAACTGAAAGAAAATGGGCTTCTGACTCCGACACAATAACATATGAATTTAGCAACACTCAATGCTAATTAACACCACTAAACCACTAATTACACTTCAAACCTAAAAAATACATAGATCCCTGAATTCTAGAAAATATCAGGCTGTTTCCCTTGTTTCTTAACTTTTTAAGTCTTACTTATCAGACCGCAGGCAGCAGGTTGATGTTGCGGGTATATTGTCAGATGAGAGTGAGGTTTTTTGCGGAGTGCCCCAGGGCTCGGTGTTAGGCCCTGTTCTTTTCCTTATAATGATTAATGATTTGGATAAATGTATGTCCTGTACTTCTGTGATTTATGCGGATGACTCCACTTTCTTAAATAGTCAAGGTACCTTTAGTGAACTCATGGTGCTGTCCAAACTTTCCCTCAATGAAGCTAGGAACTGGTTCAGTGTCAATGGGTTTTTTATGAATCCTGAAAAGACTCAAACTATTGTTTTTAGGTTAGGTCGCACACCTGAGGAAGAAAAGAATTTTTCGTCAAGTGTAAATTTATTAGGCATAGATTTGGATAGTGATTTAAGCTGGTCAACCCATTTATATAACTTAAGTAAGAAATTGTCAAGAGTTTTATTTTTTAATTAGACGTCTAAGAGATTTTGTTCCTCCTTTGTATGTTAGATCTGCGTATTTTGCTTTTTTTCAAAGTCTGTTAAAGTATGGTCTGTTACTGTGGGGTAACTCCACCCACATTCTAATAATTTTAAAGCTTCAAAAAAAGGCTGTAAGACTGTTGACCAATTCAGGGTTGAGGGACCATTGTAAACCTCTTTTTAAAGCAACAGGTATCCTGACAACTGTAAATTTGTATATATTAGAGTGTGTTATTTTTGTAAAACAAAATTCACATTTCTTTAGCTCAAGAAATAATTTTCACTCATATTACACAAGGGGAAGATCTGCTTTGGATAGGCCCTACACCAGACTAACAACAGTACAGCAAAGTTTTGCTAGTATATCAGTAAAAATAGTAAATTGTTTTGCAAGTGAAATACTTGACATTCCTTGTACTCGGCTAAAACAAAAGTTGATGGTTTGGCTTGCTGACCACCCTTTTTACAGTTTAGATGAATTTTTTGCAGAATACAATTGTAATGGTAAAATTGTTATCTAGTTCTTACTTAGTCCCTAGTCAACTGTTACCTAGTCTTTCAAACACTTGTTTAAGTAGGTACCTCACTTTTGTTTCATATATATAGTTCTGTGTTTTTCAAATGATTTTAGCTTTATTTTCTTGTTGTCTTTGTTATATTTAAGTTTAGTGAAGATTCCATGTTATAGACCATGTTATACTATCTAGAATCTAAAGCCCTTTTTTTGTTAACGAGGTCTATTGTAACATATGTTATTCAATGACCAATAAAGATTTATGATTTTTTTTTTTTACGACTTTACAACATAGTTGGTATACCTCAAGACAACCCCTTGTCAATGTCTGCACTTGGAAGGTATTTAGTACCTACCCAAGACTTTATGCACATGCACTTTACTGTACTTCATGATTGTTATAGCACAATGCATACAACAAGGTTTGTTAACTCCTCATTCCTGCATATTTATCTTCTACCCATCACGTCTTAGTGTCAAAACGAACAGAGACCTGTGGTTGAGAGGACAAGTATTATTATTTATATCTTATTTTTTTAGCTGCCACTAGTGGTGAACTAGTGCTGAACTATAATGAATTCAGACAAACTGGTTAAATTGTATGTCTATTTCTTAACTTTAAAATGGTGGTTATATATTGCTAGTTTAAGGAAAGATGTTCAATTTTATTTTAAAGGAATTAATTTATTGTTTAGTTTAAGTACTGTTATGTTAGATTTAGTTTTAGACATGCCAACCCGGCAGACAATCGAGAGGTTTAATTGCTGTAGCGCGTAGTCACGTTCCCTACGTGGGGCGAACTTGTATTTTGAAAATAAAGCGCCATTTCTTTCTTTCCTTCTTCTCTCTAGAGGTAACTTTTTTTGCCATTTATTATTTCTAAAGAAAAAACAAATTAGCCTTGTGTGGGTATGAAAACTGATAAGCATTATTTCAATGATTTTTTACATATGTTCAAAGCAGTTTTTCTAATTTGTTCCTAAAGATTCGACCTTGTCGTTGCCATAATATTAATTTTGAACATAGCCTAATATTAATTTGTTCTTTGATAACCTAGTTCAAGGTACAGAAAAAGTTATTAAATTAAAATTTCCAGTGAATTAAATTTTCACGAACTTTTGAAAGGACGCTGCAGTTCTGCAGTAGTTTTCAGGAACAAGGAATAAGGAACCTACTGCCCCAAAGCACAGAAAACATACTACTATAACCCAGAATGCCAACCGCATAGTAAAAAGCGTTAAGTACTTTGAGAGAGCATTGCCTGTCAGTTCATAGGCAGCGCCACCAGCGTTGCTATGCTGAGTGCATAGTAGAGTTTTCTGTGCCGAAAGCCCCCCATACATGGTCCAACATGTGGGCTGACATGTAGGCCTACGGTCTGCGGCCCATCTGCCAAGTCTCTGGATGTTACCACATACGATCCGACCAGTGTTTGGACCAGTGTTCCAACTGTGGAATCTTCTTGTAGCTGCGTTTTCATTCGGTCAGCATCGAGCCTTCATATTTTCAAATCTTCTTTAGGTCTAATTCTAATAGGTTATTTCTTTTGGTCTCTAGCATTTCATAGGGCCTACAATCAATACTAGCCTACATAATCCTGGTTAATTATAAGTATTTATTTTGGATAGTTCAAGTTTTTACATGAAAAAAGACAAGTGCCTCAAGTGTTTGTTGCTGTACTAGTACTGTTTGCTTTGTATGTCCTACAAGCACGGCATACTCCACTGCACATTTTTAATCGGTTTTACTCTATGACGATAACGTCCACAAAACAATTGAAGTTAACTGCCAGTAACCAAGTCTGTTGAGCTCATACATGGTCCGACGCGGTTGATTGTGTTGGATGTTTTGGCCGAGTCCGTCTGGAATTCTCAAACCGACCGCAAACTTTTACACATACACGGTCCAACACAGTCGGAGTTGGATAAGTCGGCAGACATGTCGGACCGTGTTAGGGGGCATTAAGGCTCAGTGTGCCTGTTTCACTCAGCCGCTCCATGGTTCCCTACAGTTCATCCAGACGAGTCATTTTTCTGTTCAGCCTTGCCCGGGTAAACTCCTAATCTGTGGAGAAGCCAAAGCAAAAGCCATCGGACCTGGTTATGACCTTGTGAATGGTTAAATAAAGTATATTCTGGAAGTCAGTCAATTCATGGGAAGCAAAGCTACTAAGGATTTGAGAGATCCTTATTGTTGATGATGTTTCTTTAGAACAAACCCACTGAAATTTAAAATGTTACCTGTTCCATTAATTCACTAACTATAATGGCCAAATTAAGGGCCTTAGTATTAAGTCAATACACAATTGGAGTTTTGAGTTGAGTGTTTGTTCTAACCTGAATAACCTAATCCTGAAAAGGTTCGTAGATAATCATACTAAGATTAATAAGGTAACTTTAAATGGCAATTGCCAGTGTTCATAGAGCCTATCATGAGCAAGGCTTGGGATACAGATGTGTAGCCTAGGCCTACTGTCAATTTTGATTATCATGGAACAGGCTATTTCCTTGAAAAAACGCTTCCTGTAACAGGAATTCAAGGAAACCAAGATAATAGGTGCTTACTCTTAGCAAAGAACGCACGATCAACAGCCCTTGCCTCTATCAGATCAGATCAGATCAGAAGCGGAAGCCATCTATAATTAAAACGCGAAATAAGGCGGTGGTAGATTCAAAAACGTTTTACGTATGACCACAACGCCGGTTGTCCACGGAACAGTTAAATTAAAGTTTATAATAGCATCCCGATCCCTCGCACTGTCGCTTTACAGTCCTTCCATTGTAAATAAAGATCCCCGAGCAAAAACGTCTGTACACAAGAGGCTACAACTGTGAACTTTTGTGAACTGTTGACACTAAATGCTACATATAGCGGATGCTAGACGAAAAAGATTTGTATAAGTTAACATTGCTACATATAGCAATGTTAGATATAGCACGCATTTCTTTTGATCTTTACCGACTCCTGATGGATAGCACAATTTTTGCTATACATAGCAGAATCTGCTACATATAGCAGTGTTATATAGCACTTTTGAAAAGTGACTTTTTCTACTTCTAGCAAATGTTATATATAGGCTTAAGCTGGCCTAATTATAGTCTAAAACTGAGAAATAGGTATTCTTGTGTCATATTGAGATTGACAGACTCATCTTACCTGTATCAGCGCTTTTATTGATAGATTTTCATTAACAATGTCTTGTCTAATACTCTCAACTATATATTTATCACTATCCATTGTGGAGTTATTATTTATATTATGTTAAGCAGGATGTGTGTAAAGGCCTATGTAGAACTTGATTGTAGTAATAACTTTACTCGTACTTGTTCATCTAACTCCCATTTTATAAAATGCTACATGACAATTTTATTGTAAACATGTATATTTTACAGTACCGGTACTGAACTAAAGGCCATACACACCAACACCCAACACCAAGTCACCAACACCGTTTTATTGTTTAATTTGTTGACGAGTTGACGTGACATTTGATTTATTTAGGTAGGTTATGTTTGCTTGTCTGTTTGTTTTGTTGTGGTGCGGTTGCGGTTGCTCTTCTTTTCTTTCTAATTTGATTTTTTCAGCAGGCTTGACTCATTGCACGGCCGCCTTTAACTCCAGGCCGCGGCCTTCGAAGTGGCAACGTCGCAAGAGGTTTGGAATGGAAGCAGCTAATGGTATTTGTGTATTTACGAAAGATTGGTTACTGGACTATGACAATTAATATTGACACCGCTTAAAAAATGTACAGATATATATTTTTAATTTATATTGTTTCGGTTTTCAATTCTGTATGTTTTATTTTCAATCTATCTATATAAAATCCAATGTAAGTTTGTTTGTTTGTCCTTTATGGACTCCGAAACCGCTCGACAGATTGTAATGAAACTTTCAAGCATTATTAAGCATTATTCAAGGATGGTTTGTGTGAAGTTTGGTGCAGATCCGTCAAAAGGGCTCCGCCCCAGTGGCTCTCCCCCGGGCTCTGGAGTTCCCATGTTAACCTTATGAGTACACCTACTCATATTTAAATGGAATTAAGGAATCTTAACTGCTGGTTCAACTAAACAATTTGATTATGTGATGTTCAGTAGGATTAAAAAGTTAATAGGTTTAACAACAGGGTGCAGCACTATTATTTTTTTTAATTTATGACAACAACTAATTTGCAACCAAAAGGTGAGTGAGCGTAGCGAACGAGCTCCAACCTAAAGGTGAGTGAGCGTAGAGAACGAACTTCAACCAGGAAGTGATTGAGCCATGCGAACGAGCTCATCTTGAAAATGAACGAGCATTTGACATAAAACCACATTAGGACAGGACGACGTCTGTCGGGTCAGCAAGTACCTATTTTTAAAAATTTATGTTCATAAATTTAAATTTAAATCAATTAAGTGGGAATTAATGAGCTGATGTCACCTGTCTGCCATGTTATCTTATGGGACGTCTGTCACTAAACAACACCACTTGCGATCCGCTGCCAATTCTACCAGGCCACGGCCTGTAGTTAAAGGTGGCCGTGCTCGTTGTCACGGATACTTGATAAAATACAGATATCCTATATTATACTATATCTGTATTTTCCTCCCACCATCCACTATATCTATATTCTGATATATAATAGATATTATTGTGATAAGGGCCACTACATTAGAAAACATAATAAAAACATTAGTACCCTTTTAATTTATTTAAATTATCAGCTAATAGTTTCTACACTAAGGTCATAGTCATGTTGACATTTGATACAAATAAAAAAATACAATAACAAATTATTTGTTAAACCTTCTGCCGTTTGTTAAAAAGTCCTAAGTTTTTAAAGTCAAATTTGTGTATTTTTAAAGTTTAACATGAAATAAACACATTGACTAAATAATTAACGATTCAAGATTAAATGGAAAACTTCTGCTTTATTTTTATTTCAAAACATATGTTCTAGAGTTATTCTACACTTTCCTTATTTTAAATTTGAGATTTATTGTACCGGTGTAGTACGTGTTTAATCAATATTTTGTATGAAGTGGAATTACCTCAACGGCTACTCTTATAGCTATTTACCTTACAAGTGTAGTAAGAGCGTTTTTACATCACGCAGGTGAATGTTGTGCAACGAGCGGAAGCGAGTTGCATAATTTACCGAAGTGATGTAAACACGCTCTTGCGTAACGTGTAACGTACAAGATTTTACCTGACCCGACAATATACAGGAGGTTACGAACAATATTTTTCATTATCCATTTCACTCATCTTCTAACAGTAACGTTCATTTACAAACAAAAGCTAGGTTAGGAAAATTCTTCAAAACATAACAATAAAATTCAAACGCACAGCTGATTTCTAGCGTTGAACGTCGTTGGCTCCATAGAGGTATATTTTTTAAGTTAAGCACTCAATGTTATTTAAATGGGTTTCATTACACCACCGAGTGAGTTTTTTTCAACTTTACATCACTCGAGAAGTAACGAAGTTATATACATCACGCTTGGGATAGGGAAGTTTAACATGGCGGGTTAGGTAAAAAAATAAACCTGAGAATAAAAATGGAATAGGTTCGTAAGAAATATATATTTGTTAATTGAGTAAGTACTATGACAAGTTCCAATGGGAGGAAAAACAATATTGTTTGGAAATTTTAAACAGGTACCGTCTGTTGCTCGCCAAAGAGTTAATAATTGTCTGTGACAGCTTTTTGTTGCTAGTTGTTTAAAATTAATTTTAACTAACTAATTTAATTAATTTTTTTTTTTTTAATTAGCTGTTGTCATAAATACAAAAAAGTGTAATAGTGCTGCACCCTGTTGGTAAACCTTATAACTTTTTAATGCTATTTAATATCATAGAACACATCCGTTTCAATCGCGGATTACTCCTCTGAAATGCGCATGCGAGAGTAAACCGTTCTGTGGAGTGTGGAACTGTGACATATATCAGATTTATCTGTTACAACGTTTACGTTTACAAGGAATTGAATGTAGCACACAGGACAGGTTGTAACTATGTCTACTTTTAACCTAACCAACCCATATTAATACAAGATGATGACACAGGTAAGGCAATTGGAAAAATGCAATTCCACTCGGCCATTTGTATCCGTTACGTAAGAAGGTAACATAGATGCAGTCAAAACACGGAGTAACTTAAACATACGTATATTCTTAAATTAACAGCTAGACTTAAACCACCTTATAGGTCAGGCCAACTTCATCTCTGTGTTACAAAGGAACCTAACTTCTCACATTCCTTTTTTATTATTCCAAAAGCTTTACCATAATCACTAGTACATTTTGATAAACATGAGACATAAACAAGAATTTACTTTATTCATGCCTGACGAACATACAGCGTGAAGTGATTGAGTGCTTATAGTTTCAGCACAAAACTATAAAATAACTTAAGTATAAATTAATTTGTAAATACTTTTTAACTAGCATAACTTAACTTACATAATATTAGTTTACATATTTTGAGATAGGTCTAGGCACTAAAAAATAAACAAACGGATGAGCAAGAACGAGAAAGTAGACTTAAGTCTTCTGCATCCAATAGTCAATAATAAAAGCAAAGCGCGGACTATAGTAAGTCTATGGTATTTCTATCACCATTCCCATATGTTTTAGGTAAATAAACAAGCTGGTTGTTTTTAAGATTTTAATGGTAAGAGTTTAGTACAACCGTTGACTGTAAATCCTTGGTACAACCATAGATTAAACATACTTGGTTAGTCTATGGTACAACCATCCACCACTGTGACGTAGAGTTGCGCTGCCCGTGCTGCAGCATGGCCTGTTTTTTCTAGTGGGGCCTTGACTATAGTTGGTTAGGAGGTTGTAAGTTGTGTTGTAACCATTAGGTTACAACACAACTTACAACCTCCTGTGTGCTGTATTCAATCATTGACTATACCTACAGGTATATATAGTCAATGATTCAATTCATTGTAAGTTAAACGTTGTAACAGATAGATCTGATATCTGATATAAGTCACAGCTCCACGGAACAGTTTACTCGCGCTTGCGCATTATGAGAGGAGTAATCCGCGATTGAAACGGATGTCATAGAACCAACTTGTGTAGATGAAACAGCCGACGAAATTCTTGGATTCCTTTTAAATATGAAAACTCATAAGGTTAACAATGGAAACTCCAGAACCACTGGGTGGAGTCGAAAGGGTTTTAAGATAAGAATATATGTCTATACAAGTAAGTGGCTTTCACACTAGTCCCTAAAAAGCACAATAATGTAAAAAAATATTGAAATATTCAAACAAACTCGGAAATATGTTATCTATGTGTCAGAATAGATATCCCTGTACATCACCATATATTTTGTGTAAAAAACAGTTTGTTGATGTTATTTTCGAATCATTTGAATCACAACATATGTTTAACTCTGCTAAAGGTAGCAAACATATAATTGTTTTGGAATAAAAACTGGTTTATCAAGATAGCTTTGGTCTTGTGGTTGATGGTAACAAAAAACTACTTCTCTGATTGGAATTTTGGAAATTGCCTTCGTCAAATATGAAAATGCAAATAAATTTGTGTTGAGGTAAGCTTAGTTCTTGGCCAAACCCGCTAAATTAGCATCCCTACCCAGTTAATATTTCTAAGTTTATACTCCTTTTGGGTTTAACAACATTAGCGTTAAGTAAAGGCAACCCATTGAACAAACTTAACCCTAGATTTTTTCTGATCAACATAAAATAACTACAATTATTGTAAGTTTATGTGGTGGTATTCCTCTTAAAGGTGCGATTGACTTTACATATTCAATCAAATTAGGCCTAATCATCGGCTGATTATTAACTCTTTGGCGAGCAACAGACGGTACCTGTTTAAAATTTTCAAACAATATTGTTTTTCCTCCCATTGGAACTTGTCATAGTACTTACTCAATTAAAAAATATATATTTCCTACGAACCTATTCCATTTTTATTCCCAGGTTTATTTTTTAAGAGTAGCCGTTGAGGTAATTCCACTTCATACAAAATAAAACACTAACCGGTACAATAAATCTCAAATTTAAAATAAGGAAAGTGTAGAATAACTCTAGAACATATGTTTTGAAATAAAAATAAAGCAGAAGTTTTCCATTTAATCTTGAGCCGTTAATTATTTAGTCAATGTGTTTATTTCATGTTAAACTTTAAAAATACACAAATTTGAAAAGTTTCACAGTTAAATAATTTATTTCCACTTTCTATAACGTGTAACTAAAAAGTCTTAATTATTATAGATACCGTTACCCTGAATTTACTTATTACTTATTTGCCAGTCAATTCTGCAATGTACTATATACATTGCAGAATTGACTGGCAATGTACTTGCCATGTAATGTATGTGATGTATGTGCCATGTAATGTATGTGACTGCAATGTATTTGCCAGTCAATTCTGCAATGTACTATATACATTGCAGAATTGACTGGCAAATAAGTAATCCAAATGTTAACATTGCGCATTGCGTACCGGTACTGGCTTGATGATAAATCACGATCAGCTGTTATGAAGTAAACATAAATCGGCAGTAGGCTAAATGGCTTCTAATAACAGAATATAGAACCTAATCTAGAACCTTCAGGTTCTACTCTCTTTTTTGCTTCTAATGCTATTCTTATGGAGAAAGTTTAACGTTGTATCTCGATTTCTGGTAACTTTGTGGGGATTCTGCTATTTTACCCGAGTCCCTGGGGTCAAGACCTTTAATTTAAGACCCCTCCCCCTTTTCTGCAACTTACCAGACGTCCACAATTTTCTGGTAAAAATTTTGTCTTACAGAATTATACAGGGTGAGTTTTAATTGTCCCCTCCCCCAACTTTTTTCTACATTTTTTCAAATATCAATCCCAGACCACTTCCAAACATTGTTGGGTAGTAAGTACTTCATTTTGACAAGGTGGTCATTTCCGGCCGCCATCTTGGATCCGCCATATTGGATTCAAAATATTTTTCTCAAATGTAAAGGTGGGATTGTGACCCATTATTTCGAACTAGATTTTCACCCTGATATCAATGCCGCAAACACTTTTCAAAAATCTTGATCCATTCCAAAGTTATGAGTGTTTTTTAAAACTTTATTTTTTGAGGCATTGAGTTTAGTTTAAAAAAGTAGTTCGAAATGATGGGTCACAACACCCCCTTCATATTTAAAATAATTTATCACATTTCAAAATGGCGGATCCAAGATGTCGGCCGGAAAAAATACATCAGTCATAACCAGGTGAAAATAGGTCGACAATTACTGGTAGTGTATACTTATCTTTATCTAACACTATTTTGAGATTATGGTCTTAGTTTGTACATGCACAATGCTAAAATAGGCTAAAAATAAAGTTTTAAAAAGCCCTCATAACTTTGGAATGGATCAAGATTTTTGAAAAGTGTTTGCGGCATTGTTATCAGGGTAAAAATCTAGTTTGAAATAATGGGTCACAACCCCACCTTTACTTTTGAAAAAGTTTTGCTTTTAATATGGTGGATCCAAGATGGCGGCCGGAAATTACCACCTTGTCAAAATGAAGTACTTACTACCCAATAATGTTTGGAAGTGGTCTGGGATTGATATTTGAAAACATGTAGAAAAAAGTTGGGGGGGGGGACAATTAAAACTCACCATGTATATAAGGATGTTAATTGGGAATGTGAGCTATTACCACACCAAATTTCAGCCCAATCCAACCAGTAGTTAATGCATGATCGAACTTCAAACAAACAAACACACAAACTTTCACTTTCACATTTATAATATTAGTAAGACAAGATAAGATAAGATTGCTATAAAAATCAGCCCATACCAATATGTGAAAACGGATTGAAAATTATAAATACCCCTGCCGCAGCAAACCTGCAGACTAAGAGAATCTCCATTTACCTGGCTGGATTTCTACTAAAATATACCGTACCCTGAAAATTGTTAGATTTATTTCCTATTAAATAACGTTTATTATAATGAGTACCTAGGATTGCTGCTACAGGGAAGGTATTGAAATGTGTTTTTTTATAGAAATATTGATAGCTTAGTATGAAATAAACAAAATTGCCAAATTTGATTAAAAACAAGCAAACTACACTTGTTTATTTATTCTCTATAAGAATAACATGGGAATTTTAAATTTAAAGTTTATTTAATTATCTTTGTAACCATTAGGAATAAAACAACGCTTCAATAAACAAAATTAAAGGGATTTTTAAATAGCACAAACACAAATGTGGATTGATAAAATATACATTAATTAATCACAACAGACATCAGCTGAAAGTTATCTTACTTCTCAAATCATAAAATAAAATATGTTCTTAAATCTTTTGAAGCTCCTGAAATAATAATGTAAATAAAAATATTTGTTTAAATAGGTCTTTTTATGAACTGCAAGATTACATAATGTGATAAAGATATCTGTAAAACACTTTATCGTTTTGAGTACCATCTCGGGAAACACTCCCAATCTTGAATAAAGATAACTTAATTCAGGCATAATCCTGTAATTTAATCTCAGCACATAAACACATTCGTTGGATTGGTTGGAAGATCTACTACATGTTTATAATGGCGGATGATGATGGTAAGAAAGCTATTAAACCACTGCTTTTAGGAATTTTCCGTTCATTTGTTGCATTTTTGTACCCATGCAAATTAACATTTAATATTAATACTTTTGCAAATTATTACTTTTTGTTAGGGTTATAGCAATGAATAAAGTTGCAAAGATTTCTAAATAACTAATTGCACTGTGGCGGTTCTAGGAACATGTCAAGGGGGGGGGCTAACAGGGTGAGGGATTTGGGGGTCCTCCCCCGGATAATTTGAAATTTTTAAAGCCCTTTTGGTGAATTTTTAAAGCCATTTTCACTGTCTATAACTGTATCTAAAACCCTGCCATTGCATTTCTATTTTTAAATGTATCTTTAAATTTATATTTTCAGGGTCCAAGGGGGGGGCTTTAGTCCCTATAGCCCCCGCCACTGACTATCTGCTATTTGAAAGTTTTAATGTCTAGTGTTTTTGGCCTCTTGGGACATCAGAATGAAAAATAATGTGTGCTCCACCCTGTACATTTAAATACCCCGTCACAGCAAACCTGCAGACTAAGCAAATTGCCATTTGTCTAATTGGATCTCCACTGAAATATTTCCTTAAAATTGTCACATTTGTTTTCTATATAAATAACATTAATTTGAATGAGTACTTAGGTATGCTGCCACAGGGAAGGTAATAAGGTATGTTTTTTTATTAAAATGTTGATAGCTTAGTAATAAATAAACAAATTTGCAAAATCCAATCAAAATATATCCGTAAAAAACAAACTACAACAGTTTCCTTATCCTCCATTTAAGAATATGATGAAATTTTAAAATTACAATTTTTTTTAAATTCTCTCTGTAACTATTAGGCTCATAACAACGCTTCAATATACTAAATTATTTGTTTTTTTTTTTACTCTACAAAATGGTTTGGAAATAAATTGCAAAATTTTATGTTTTTCGGGTCAAAAATGGGGAAAACCAATTTTTACCCCATAAAACCCCTGTTCCCATAGTCTGATCATTCTGGTTCGCGAATTTGTTTGAATAAATGTAAGTTTACATGTTTGTACCAAATTTCATCAAAATCAGCTCATTTTTGCTCAAGTTATCAAGCTAACGAACACACACACACATATATAATATATGAATTTGAACGGCTGATGTTTTTGGCCTCTAGGGACCTCAAAATAAAAAAGTAAGTCGGTCCCGAGTCCAGGTCTTACCATGAGTACGGCAGTAAGAGCTTATTCCCCATATGGGAAATTCGCTAAAAGGGGTGAGGTTCACAAAGTATTTCACTAACTACAATATAAGTTAGTAAAATTAAGAAACCGAGGCGGTACTGAGGTTCATGAAGATGTGGACATCTTGAGGCGGGATGTTGTATTATTAAGTCTGTTCTTTTTATCATATGATTTATTTGTGTTTAAATATGTTTTGTTGTCAGATGATTTTTGAAAAGATGTTTTTGTAAACATTGGTTTAGTTTTGAAATAGAGTTTGTTGAAGCAAGATGTGTGATTAATATTCTTGTATTAGAAATTTAAATAAACACCAGATTTCATCGAGTGCAATTAACTAAAATTATAAATAAACTTTGTTTCACAAACAAAGTTTATTTATAATTTTAAAATTAAAATGGTTTTAATTTAAATAAGCAGAGCATTTCACCATATTTCATGAACTCAAAAATTAACCAACTCCAAAGTACAGTCCAGACTATAAGTTGTTGCAGGGGCAGCCACAGTCTCCAGACACCAAACGTTCTTGTGTTGTTAACCTAACCCAACCTAAATTTCCATTTAGTATCTTCTGGCCGGGACTGTACTTATGGAGTTGGTGAATTTGTGAGATCGTGAAACGCATATGCTTAATAGCGAATATCCGTAGCTATTACCGTAGGAAGACCTAGGCCCAGGACCGATTTACTTTTTCATTTTGATGTCCCCAGAGGCCAAAACCCCTATAAAAAAGTAATTTCTGGCCATATATGGCCATATCAAAATTCCATATATGGTTTCATAAAGCCATATATGGTTTTTTATGGACATATATGGAAGCAGATATGGCCAGATGTGGTTGTATCCATATATGGTGGTGTCCATATATGGTCATATATGTAGTCTATATATGGAATTATTGGCCATATATGGCCATACATGTTTTCTATATATGAAATGATTGTCCATATATGGCCATACATGTTTTCTATATATGAAATTATTGCCCATATATGGCCATAAATATCCTCCATATATGGAATCATGGTCTTTTTATGGCCATATATGACTCCCAGGTATGGAATTAAATTACTCATATACGGAATAATAATTTTCCATTTATGCTCATGTATAAATGAGTTTTTGACAATAACTGGAATTATTATAAGGAATAGTTGCCACATTTGGATTTTGTAACTGGACTCCCAAACACTTCTTATAATATATATAATACTATAAATCTTAAAGTTTGTGAGTTTGTGTATTTTCTTGTTGCTCTCGGAAGCACAAACTACTGAACTGATTGAGTTGAAATGTGGTACAGTGGGGGGCAGATAATATAGGCATTTCTCATTTAAAGTAATTAGTAGGTAGTAAAGTAATAAAGTATCCAGATTTGAACCCAGATGACAAAATCCTGTACATACATCTATTGTACAATTTTATTATAACGCAACAAAATCTTAAAACTGACGTATAATTTTAAAATTGTAAGTGTAGTAGGCCTAAATAAAGAGAATATTATATTAATAATTAATTTATTGTACCTTTGCTATCAAACAGCTGCAAATATCTATGTCACGTAGTTAGGCTATATTAATAATAAAATTCTTCAAATGACATAAAATGTCTAAGAAAATCTTGTTTTACGAGACCAAATACAGCTTCTCTTATTCGTAATGGGTTTTGTAAAGACATCTGATATGAAGCGGTTGTGGTGTAGTGGTCAAAGGGGTAGACTCCCACGCTGGAGTCCCGGGTTCGAATCCCGGTCGGCTACTTGAAAACTTTGTTTTGAAATTTTCAAATTAAAAATTTTTATTATGGTTTTAATGCATAGTTTATAAGATTTAATGTGAAAATATGTTTAATTGTAATTTTTTTATTTATTTATATATTTTTTATTAAAAAATTTCCATATATGGGGGATTCCATATATGATCATATCTGGTTATATTTGGTCCAAAACCAAATATAACCAGATAAAAAAAATTTTATATGGCCATATATAAACTTTTTCATAAGGGAAACACCATTCGTTCAAATTTTACGGTAGAGTTATATATGTGTCCGTGAACTTGAGTAATTTTTGTTCAATTTTGATGATGAAATTTGGTTTAAAGACCTAAGGCCGGATAAACTTCGCTAACCAGCATGTTCGGTTCGCGGGAACGGAGTTTTACGGGTTTTATAAGAATAAGAATAACAATATTTTATTTTCTCCAAAAAATACAGTATAAAAATATTTACAATTAGTCATTGACAGTGTTTTACATAAACAACAACAAAATATATGGTATATCTAGTTCCATTTCATCAAAAAAATAAAGTCCATCACTTTACAATGTCATACTGAATATGTAAAACATAACTAAAAATTATAACAAATACACTAGGCCTACTTGGTTTTGTTGTTACTATTGTAATTAAAACAAATTAATAGATCAATAACTTTACTGGAGAAAATCTAAGGCCTCCAAGGCAAAGCCTGTTTGGAGGTTCCTTCAAATGCAGATAACAGAAATAAAGCGAACTGATAACAATTTATAATCTTAAACAAAAACGGTCTCTTGGTCAAGTTTGTGCGCTCATAAAACTAATAACAACTTTCATTAGTACTAACTATGGTTTGGAACTTTCAAACCGCGCACCGCACTCTACCACCAGGCGATGGTACCACAGGTGCCATCACAGCTCATAGCATGCAATGCTTAGTCCCTGTGTGGTAAAGCTAGCCATAGTGCGCCCTTATGATGATTTCTTATATTAAATTTGCTAAAAATCAAAAGTTGTATTATCTATGTATAGCTTATTTTGAATTATTTTTCGATATGAATCAAAAAACTAATTTCCTGCAAACTGAATAAGTATTTCTTCAATTTTTTGGTACGGTAAAAATAGATATGCTCTTTGAATTTTTTAAGTCATTGGGTAATAAACTAGGCATGCGGCCTCAGGTCCGCCAATTGAGCGGAGTAAGCAAGCTTTGATATAAACAAATAACTTTAATTTGTTTTCATGATTCAAATTGAATACATGATGACGTCACCATAACAACAATCCAATTGAATTCTCGTGGTTGGTTGGAAGAGTTGAAGGAAATATGAATCAAGTCAGCTGTTTCTATTAGGTCATTGATTTTTACTTGTATATATGAGTAATAGTAAAACTGTGTGTTTGTAATAACATAAAGATAAGTATTATTTTGTCAATATCCTAATGTTTGTTTAGCTCCCATTTATGTAATAGGCCTATAGGCTTCCTTCTAATTTTCTCCAACTAAAATATTTAGCCAATTAGTAAACTTTGCTCAGCGAACAGAATGACAGAAGAAGGTGACTATATATAGCAATACCACAGTAATTATAATAATTAGCAAGTAAGTAAGTAAGTATTCAAGTAAGTATTAAAATCAAATATAAAAGACGTTTTTATATTAGGCTATGGCAATTTAATTTGAGAATCTGCACTGTGTTGATGTAAAGCCTATTTATTGGGTTGTACTAAATTTTCAACCTGACATAAAAATGCCAACATGCTGTTCTGTCAGCTGTAATAATTCATCTTATAGTAATACGGAAAAAATAAGAATATTATATCACGCTTATTTTGTAACTGGACTCCCGTACAGACCAAGCAGTCTAGGCTCTACTTTTTGTAATTATTACCTTATTATCTTCATCTTTTACCCAAAATTAGTGATGGCGTCAGACTTTCAAATAAAAATATATACATTTAAACAAACAGACATAAATTACTGAACATATATTTACAACATTGGCATGTGTAATTGTAACTGTGTCTGTATATCTGCACAG